CCCCCCCTCCTGCCCCCCGTGGCATGCTCCAAAACTACTCTCAAAAGCTGGATAAGCACAACAACATGCAATTCCTGGGATGCGTATCGGCACCTAGACGCTCAAATGGCGTTTGCTGTACGTCTGACTCGAATAATTCATCCACCGCATAGACTAGTCCTGAAAAAAACAACCGAAGAGCATCCAGTCTAAACATCAACGATTGGTGTCGGGGTCCGTTGCCGTCCTCGAGAAGAAACGGGGGCCGCCGCCGGCGGCAGCTGAACCAAGAGAACCACCGCCTCTCTCGGCCGTCCCGCTCCTCCTTGGACGCGAGCACCGGCCCCCACCCGCCCACCCGCCCCCCTTCCCTCTCCGCGAGCACCGGCGTGGCGGCCCCGGCCACCCTGTCCCTGGCCACGCCCGTCTCGCCCTTCCTGACGCCCAAGCGCGCCCGTTGTTGTCCTCGATCCAAGCGGGNCCGCCTCTCTCGGCCGTCCCGCTCCTCCTTGGACGCGAGCACCGGCCCCCACCCGCCCACCCGCCCCCCTTCCCTCTCCGCGAGCACCGGCGTGGCGGCCCCGGCCACCCTGTCCCTGGCCACGCCCGTCTCGCCCTTCCTGACGCCCAAGCGCGCCCGTTGTTGTCCTCGATCCAAGCGGGTTGCATACGCTGGCCTTTGTGGATGATGGTAGGTTGGCAGGTGTGGCCATCGGCGCCGATGCTGGCACCACCGTCGTATTTCATCGCGGCTTGCAGGGCCAAGTTGCCGCCGTCCTCAACGGCCACGCCTCGCGCACGACCTTCGACGCCATCAGCTTGGCCATCTCCCTGGACATCTNGATTGGTGTCGGGGTCCGTTGCCGTCCTCGAGAAGAAACGGGGGCCGCCGCCGGCGGCAGCTGAACCAAGAGAACCACCGCCTCTCTCGGCCGTCCCGCTCCTCCTTGGACGCGAGCACCGGCCCCCACCCGCCCACCCGCCCCCCTTCCCTCTCCGCGAGCACCGGCGTGGCGGCCCCGGCCACCCTGTCCCTGGCCACGCCCGTCTCGCCCTTCCTGACGCCCAAGCGCGCCCGTTGTTGTCCTCGATCCAAGCGGGTTGCATACGCTGGCCTTTGTGGATGATGGTAGGTTGGCAGGTGTGGCCATCGGCGCCGATGCTGGCACCACCGTCGTATTTCATCGCGGCTTGCAGGGCCAAGTTGCCGCCGTCCTCAACGGCCACGCCTCGCGCACGACCTTCGACGCCATCAGCTTGGCCATCTCCCTGGACATCTACCTCTTCCAGCTCCCATCCCACACATCGCACATCACCCAGCCCTTGGACGTCGGTACGTTCGGAACCTTCAAGGAGGAGCTCACCAGGGTGCTCACGGCCTACCCACAGAAAAACGGGGGGAGGAGTCCGGTGAAGCGCGACAGCGCGACATGGCTCGCGTGGTTGCGGAGGCATGAAGAGGGAGCTTCACGCCTGCGAACAACATGACGGCATTCAAAGGGGCGGGCTTGTGGCCGGTGAACATGGAGAAGGCCATCAGCCGACTACACAGCAAGAGGAAGCAACGGGAGAATGACCGCCCTATCCCTCAAGACCTCGCCGTCGTTGCCTCCAAGGAGCAGCTCGAACAAGCCCTTGGCCGCGCTGTCCGCCTGAAGCTGTAAAAAAAAGGGATTGATGATCGAGGGGCTCCGTGTCAACACCTTCGGGCGGGCGGGGCAAGCCCAAGGGTGGCCTCCTGTCCACCGAAGAACACCTTGCTATTGCTAGAAAGGACAAAGAAGAGAAGGAGGCAGCTGAGAAAGCAAAGGCGGGACGCGCAGAGGCAAGGACAGCGGGGGAGGCTAATCGACCAAGCGGAGCAGGTCATGGGCGAAGCGGCGGGCAGGGCGGCGGGAGAGCCGGAGGGCGAGGCGGGGGAAGGGATGGAGGGCTGGGAGAGATGAGCGTGGAGGGTGGGCAAAGCGGTACGCGGACGGAGGTTGGCGATGTGAAGTACACCGTCACGGAGTCATCCTCATGCAGAGCCACGCCTTCCTCGGCTACTACGCATCGGGAACGCCGTTGTTGTCCTCGATCCAAGCGGGTTGCATACGCTGGCCGTTGTAGATGATGGTATGGCCTTCCCCGACTTTGTACCTTGCGGGGTGGAAAGCATCATCTCTCATGAGTTGTACTGCTTGTAGTGCTGGGGGTTCTTGTCTTCAAGGAGGTCTCATCACGAAAAACAGTTCAACATGTGACTTGACTGTTCCAAGCAGTTTACACAGCTACGGGAGAGCACGCACGGCCCGCGTGCCAACGTCGTCACCGGAATCAAGCCCGAAACGCCCAGCAGCATCGATCATCAGGACGATCGGGGTGGAAATATTGAGGAATGTCGTAAGCGAGATTCTCCGCAGCTAGAATCAATCCCAGCAACACAGACTAATGTAGTCGTCGTTGTTACCGCTGTGACCAACGATTGATTACATCCACAGGCAATCTCCAAGAACGCTAACGTGGTGAGGGCAAACGCGGCCATGTCTCCCGGGATGGAGACATCCCTGTTCGACTGCTTCTCGGACCCCGTGGGATGCATCATGAGCTGCTGCTGCGGGTGCATCGTCGCGGGCTTCACGGCCGCGCGCGTGGACGACCGCGAGTGCAACCTGTGCGACGCCTTCTCGAACTCTTACCAGGCGAGAACCAAGAAAACGGATGATTGGTTGATGATGACACAACCAACCTTGCTTTTTTTGTGTCCCCCTCTTTTTTCGTCCATCTTCATATTGTTGTTGGATGACTTGGTCGTAGAGCGGTGTTAAGTCACGGCTATTTAGCTGCGTGCGTGTAGACCGACAAGTATGAAAACACACACCTTTTCATTGGTCAACGGGTCTGCGCGGTAGATGGGAGTCATAGAAACACACGCCGGTCGCCCCGGTGGTCTAGTAGGTAGCCTCGCAGCCTGCTAAGGGCCAGGTCATGGGTTCGAGTCCCGGCAGAGAAAGTTTTTTCTCACTAAATAAATCCTGGTCTAGGATGAAAGCGACGCGCTGCAAAGCTCGTTTGTTAGTAAACCATAATCGACTTCGTAAGTCGCGAGGGAAGGGATTGCTGTACCCTTCTCGCGATAAAAATACCTCAGACATGAACCGCAGGAGGGGGTCCAACCCCCCCCTCCTATGTGACCCCGGTTGGGTCGTCTAGCCAGTAGAAGTGGAGGATAAGGGCCAGAGGGGCAGACGGCAGAGTCCAATGATGGGAGAGAAACAAAAAACAAAACTCCTTTCATGCTATCTTTTCTATCTATAAGTCAACGGGCCCACAACAGGTGTAATTCTTAACCCACGCAAAACCTGCGGCCCTTCACCACCACCGACAGGTACGTCAGTCCCTCCGTGCCAAGTACAACATGGGCTTCGCGCCTCTGCCGGACTTCGTCTCCTTGTACTGCTGCGGCTGCTGCTTCATCATGCAGGTCAGAGAACCAAGCAGTACTATAATAGTCATCCAAATACCAGGGGATGGACAAAGAGGCAGCAACGCTCATGTACGTAGCGTACTACATCGTGCCACGCGTGCCAGGTACACATGCATGCTCCCTTTCAACAAGGCGCACTAAGCCGGCCAGTGTCTCGTTTGTGGACGCTTGAACGGGCTGTTTTCTTCGCACACGGCTTTCCACCTATTTTGTGGTACTTGCGGTATGTTGTGGGATCACACGCACGCGTAGCGATCCCGGAAGAGCCTGATGAAGCTCACTTGTTCATACGGCTAATCTCTTGAAGGAAGAGCAGTGCTTGCTGTCACCTTGCTCTCAACGGTAAACTGAGCACAACAGAGAGGGGGAGGACATCCTATCTCTAAAAGGGGCCACAAACGTCCTGTCCCCTGTCCCCTGTTTTATCCTTAAATCGGGAAGTGCATCTCCTGCACGTCGCTTTCCTCGCGATTACTCCGCAATACCGTTGGTAGTTGCCGTAGTTCAAATCCCTACTGCTGTCATAAATCATTCGACCATATTCTTTGTCCCTGTCTTTTTTTTTGTTGCAGAATGCGAAGGAAGTGGCCCTCAAGAAGGGCGACGAGCCTGTTTACTTCGGCGAGGTGGGAATGAACATCATGGGCGACCGTTAAACAAGCGTAACCAATCGCTCAAGTTTTTTTGTTTCTGGAAGCGGCCCACAAAGAGCGTTTCTTGAAAATTTAAGGAACCTATGGAAAGACTTGGTTTTTTCACACATAGACTAGTCTACACATACATGTACTCTGGAGGTCGATCGCCACGATATCGCGACCAGAAAGTCGTGTAACTTTACTGCAAGTCTTCGAGTGTTTAGTGTTGAGGCGGTGGGGGGGGGGGGGGGGGGGGGGGGGGGGGGGGGGGGGGGGGGGGGGGGGGGGGGGGGGGGGGGGGGGGGGGGGGGGGGGGGGGGGGGGGGGGGGGGGGGGGGGGGGGGGGGGGGGGGGGGGGGGGGGGGGGGGGGGGGGGGGGGGGGGGGGGGGGGGGGGGGGGGGGGGGGGGGGGGGGGGGGGGGGGGGGGGGGGGGGGGGGGGGGGGGGGGGGGGGGGGGGGGGGGGGGGGGGGGGGGGGGGGGGGGGGGGGGGGGGGGGGGGGGGGGGGGGGGGGGGGGGGGGGGGGGGGGGGGGGGGGGGGGGGGGGGGGGGGGGGGGGGGGGGGTTAGGTGTCGACTCGATGTGGAATGCGCCGTTGTCGTTCCACTTCCCACGCCACCGTCCCCCCTCGTTGTGAGTAATTGGTTGTATTGGTGCAGGCAAAAATTATTTTCGGCCTGTTTTCGTTTTTTTCACGTGTACATTGATTTTTCATCTGTCTGGCGACAGCATCGACGGCGGCGGACTGCGTGAACATGCAAAAAGAGTGGCGGGGGATGGGGATGGATTGAAAAATACGGTATCGCGGCGATCTTTTTTTGCCACCTTGTTCGCTCTCGTGTTTCGTGGAGTCTACGGTTGTTTGTACCTCTGAAGCATGTTGTTTATGGTGAGTAGTGGGCGCGATTGTTCACGTTCGGAATGATCAAACCAAGTGGTTGTTCGTTTCCCGATGATTTCGTTCCATCATTTTCCACAGGGTAGGAACATCAGTAGCGAGAGTGAGTGACCACGAGCTCGATGTGTGGGGTGCGGTTGATTGTCCACGTTCGGAAGGAAGAATCCGAACGAACCAGTTACTGAATGAAGCGTCTCGTTTTGATACCGTACGTACGTGAGTATTACCGTTATCCTATCTTCGGCTTCGTTTTCGTAGCGCTTTCCACTTAGGGAACGCTCAGTGTAGCGGCAGGCGTGGGCCGCTGATATCTATACGTTGAAAAGGAAAGATTGGTTCGGAAGATGAACCTGCGCACGTTAGGCAGAGGCACCCAGGGACAGTGTCGGAAGCGCACCGTAATGTGGGTTGGGTTCGTGTATGGAGCTACGCGGTACGTGCTCAAGTAGAAGTTTGTCGGCCACTACCGCCGATGATAGAAATGTTGTGCGTGGTCTCGTTTAGTTTTTGTCAAGATACTCGTAAGGGCAGGGATGCAATGGATGGTAAGAGTACGGAAATTCATCAGAGGGCCTAGCTCAGGAGTTAAAGCGATGGTTTCCCGTCGGTCATGGTTGGGTTTGAGCGGACGAAAGAAGAGCGAAATGTGAACCAACCGCCGCGGTCTTTCGTGGGGGCGATTACTTCGGCTTGGGCTGGACATTGCTCTCGCTTCTCTCAACAAGACATGACGACGCCGTGGGTGATCCAAACTTGTTGTCCTGATGAACTCTGAAGGGCCGCTGGTTCCAGCATACGCGGAGCCCTGAAACAACCACGACAGAAGTGCAGTGTGCACAATCTCGGGGACTGGCTACGGTGGTAGCACTGCAGTCGCATAACTAATTTTCCCCGCGCCCGGTTTGCGATCGGACGCGACACGGACGGTGGTTTTGATAAAGAAACTCTTTCCCGCCCCGCCCGCAATAAAATACGTGGTGGAACAAGAACGTTTGGAACAGAACAACTAAGCGCCTCCAGTACGCGTATTAAACGCTACGCAAGAAAGCTTTTCGACGGGTGAAACGACACCCTACCCACGTTGTTGCTTGCTCTGTCGGCACGCCCATGCCTGAAGCGTTAATTCACGCCCTTGTGGGTGCATCATCTACGTATGCTGTCTCTTGGCCTCCTCACAACAAACTATACCCGCTGGGCGTCACTCCCAGCTTTCGATCTGTCGGTCGTTCGTTTCTTTTTTGCTGTAGGCACATAGTTTGTGTCCCCGGACCACTATCATTTTTGTAACCTTTTCCACCCAACCATCGCCTCTTTTCCCTCGATCAGCGAACCCGCCCCCCATCTCCCATGCTTTTCAACGAACATCAAACGCTTAAACGTAGATCGGCTCCGTGATCGCCACTGCTGTATCACCACTAAATATATTCTACGGCAGACCAGATGAGTCATCACATGCATGCATGTGCGTACGTACATACACTCACCCTTTTCCTCCCTTTTCGGAACGCCTACCACTGCTGTGTTCGTTACCAACGTTGTTGCCGTCACACTCCAAACTGTCCCGGTCTCCTCCCAGCACCACCCGTAGGTACCAATCCAATTGACGCGGACGAACGCACGCCTTCCGTGGCCACAAGGCCAACTACCTCACCCCAACAGGGTACCAATCTTCAAAAATCAAACGAGAACCAAAAAATAAACTGCTGCAAAAAATAGTCACGAACTTAACCTACGCGATGTAGAACAAATAAATATCAGCGACAAAAACAGGGCAAAAAATTGCACTTCATGCAACAAGAGTCCCTACATAGACAACAAATCAGATATCGCCGGCAATATAAGATTCGAAAAGGGAGGAAATATAGAGGTACATGGATGTGCACGCGATGCGCCAAGAAACATAATACTTCCATTCCAAATGAAAACCACAACGAAAAGAACCCAAAAGATGGGCAATCTTGGGCAACATACATCGCATGATTCAATCCCTGAATCACCCCCCTGGGACGCCGGGGTGCGTTCACCGCTGGGGGTGGTTGCACCCCCCATCGATGCAACTTCCCCAACACGTATGCATGCCCACCACGTATGCAGCAAATGTGTGGCCTGTTTTTGTCTGTAAGCTCCGTTCCAACCTAATGAGAGTTAACACAAATTTCCTCATGCATGATGAGGTTGGTGGTGGTCACACAATGACCATATGCATAGAGCGCGACTCACGTCTGCTCTACTAGACATGACGACTACTAATGATCTGTCCACGCACAAAAACACCGGCCGCCCCGTCCGTGTGGTAGGTTCAAGCCTTCGTGACCCTGACTCTCTTGGTTGCGGGTTCCATTCTCTCTGGGGAAAAGCAGTGGAAACCATTTCGCGTGGAAAACGCACAACATGAAGCAGCCAGTCGTGACTTCAGACAAAGTATGGCGAGGAGCTACAACTACTTGCTGGATGAATCCTTCTCTCAAAATAAGTACTGAAAAAAATAAAGGAGTGTAAGGAAGCCAGGCACCTCAGGAGGAAAGGCGCAACAAAAAACTGAACAACAAAAAAAATCACAGCAGGGTTTGCCTATCCTCCCGTTTGTGCGACCCCGGATGGTGCGCCAAAACACCAACGGTAACGAAAGGGGGGTACGGTGGACTGCTGCACAGAATTTGTCTTGCACGGAAACAGCAAAAAAGAACGCCATACACACCTTACAACAACGAAGAACGTTTCTGCCCCCCTCACCCCAACGCAATCACACCAACCTTTGGCGGCGTACCCCAGCCTGATTGTATAATCCATAATCACCACCGACCCTGTCGTATAGTTATTGTTTCATGCGGCCGCCGGGCATCAACAGAAAACAAGAGGGCCTCCACCTGTACATTTTTTATTCTGGTTCTCCCACGAATCCGAGAAAAAATTACACCACCTCCCTCCCTCCCTCAATCAGCACCGGCAAGCCGCGTGTGGCACAATAATATTTCACGACTTCCATCAAGACCGCGACTGGCGCCTTGACTAAAACACGCATCCAACAAAAATGCGTCTCCAACTCCGGTGAAGCCCCCCCCTTCCGTTACGCTGCTGCTGCTGCTGCTGCATTTCCTGCTCGCAAAGAAAATACTTCTAATTGCTTTCAGCCTATTTGCCCGCCCCTCCCTCCACAAGAGACATTAAGCGAGACAAGAGATTCGGTTGGCACGCGAGCGTGCGCGCGTTACTGCATAAGTGTTGATTCCGCACCGTGGTGCAAAAACAATCGAGAGCAGCAAACATTGACACGAAGAAGGCTGCGGCAAGGGACAAAAATGAAGGCAGGAACGAGCAACGCAAGCGCGTGGCGGTGCGTACGTACGTGCCGGTACTTTTTTACAGACCTGCTGTCATAACAACTGGGTTCTTCTCGTCACAAATCCTCCTCTTTCCGTACTGTAACATTCAAGGAAAGTTGACGAGCTCCAGTGGCCATCACCCAGTACGATACAATACGTACAACGCATCCAGCCAAACGCCCGAAAAAAACAATCACCCACAAGAAACCTCGAGAATATCTCGGGGGCTCGACCAAAAAAGGCCTCAAGAGGTAAAAAAGACGGGAGCAAGAAACGTTTCACTCGCGAGCTGGCAGAACTCACGGACTGCTGTCCCCTCTTCCGGCAAGACATTCAGCAGGACAAGAAGATGCAGCAGCAATCTCGTGCCGCTGACAAACGACGGAGAGCTTGGCGTCATCTTTTGCGGGGACCCCCCAATGTAAGTTGGGAGGACCCTAACGATGTGGCCGCGGCTGCTTGCTGCGTGCCTGCGGTGCCTACCTGCACGCCGAAGCACAAGATAAAATAAATTAGACCACGCGTGGTCCTGCTGCCAACAACTCCGACCGACAAGGGGGACATGCTTCACGTGTCAATTCGGTCTGGCTGCCCAGGCCGGACCGCACACAAGAGAAAAGGCGGATGAAGAAACTGCTTGAGCACGAAACGCCGCCATAATAAGTGTGTCGCTTCAATTCCAAGAGCGTCATGATCGACAAGCACTCGTTTGCCCTCTTCATGTTGGAAGGGCGTAAAGTGAAGACGCCCCCAGCCCGCCCCCACTGCTTCCTTGAACTGGCACGCGCCCTCGTCGTTGCCGCCGTTCAATCCACTTGCGTGTAGCCCTTGTAAGAAACCCAAACACAAACAATGTCAGGGGGACCCGTGACTCAACAGCACGACGGCGGCTACTATACAAAAACGCGTGCGTGTTGGAAAAAAAAAAAATGGCGACATTAACTGATGTAGCAACAGCAGCAGCAGCAATTAATCGATCGATCCATCCATCACTCTGTCGGCCGAGGGGAAGCCGTCCTGATAGTAGTCCTCGCCGCCGTCGCAGGCTGCGCGGGCGGCGTGCGCGGCGGCGCAGGGTGTAGCCCCGACGCACGCGGCGGCCCTGTTGGGGTGCCTGGGGCACGCGCCGCCGCCCCCGGTGCCACCACGACGTCAGGCAGCCCCCTCGTCTCCTGCTCGCCCTCAACGCCATCTTTCCCCGGGCCTGCTGCTGCTGCTTCTGGCGCCGGACCGTCGTTGCCCTTACAAGACGGTGGGGATGCGCTGACCGTCTCGTCGCCGGCGTCGGCGTCGGTGATGGTGGCGGCGGCGTTGTTGGCGATGGCGACCAGGCGGCGGGATGACCCGCCGCCCGTCTGTCGGATGAAGCCCATGAGGCGAGAGTTCGGGTTGGCCACCAGGTTGGCCGGGGTGTCGAACTCGCCCACCTGTGTTGTGTTCGTTGCGTGTCGCGGCACCATGGTCACGTTAAAATTCGACGTGGGGGAAAGGCTCGGTGGCCACTCAATTTGGTTCCGGTGTGGTTCTGTTCAAAGGCGGCGGCAGAGCGGGAGGGGATGGTGTCCTCGTGCATGCTGCAGTCGTTCGACCATCGACCTCGCATCCCTACAAAGCCGGGACGGAGCACGCCGGGTTCTCACCGGACCAGGCTCTCACATCACCAAGCGCAAAGCGCCGTGAAATTTCGGCGAGTCGCATGAAGGGTGCGCTGCATCCTGCTAAGGGTGTTCGGCATCTTGTGCTTACTTCCTTGCGTACGGATGACAGCTGCGTATGACTTGAGTACTTGTCTGGTGCTTTCACTTCCAGAGACAGTTAAAGGCACTGTGTAACTGCGTCGAGGGTGCTTGACCATTTGACAGAACGTGGTGCGGTCTTCCCCCTTGCACGGAGTGAGGCTTCTCCACCCCGCACAACATGATCCACTCGACCACCGTTATGGTCACCGCCAAAGCAGAACAGAGGAACAAAACAACAACGGTGACCTGGTTGCCGAGCTCACGAAGTGAATTGGCTTGTGATACGACGTCGTTGCCAAGGGACGAAAACCCAACCCCGATGGCAAACGCCGGGGGGCGGGGGGCGTGTACTCATGGTCGTGCATGCCGTGGTCGTTAGACATTTGACCTCGCATCCCTACAAAGCCGGGACGGAGCACGCCGGGGTCTCACCGGACCAGGCTCTCACATCACCAAGCGCGAAGCGCCGTGAGATATTCGGCGAGTCGCATGAAGGGTGCGCTGCATCCTGCTAAGGGTGTTCGGCATCTTGTGCTTACTTCCTTGCGTACGGATGACAGCTGCGTATGACTTACTTTATTTTCTGGTGCTTTCACTTCCAGAGACAGTTGTAAGCACTGTGTAACTGCCTCGGGGGTGCTTGACCATTTTAACACAAAGTGGTGCGATTATCCCCCTTGCGCGGAGTGAGGGTTCTCGACCCCGCACA